CGAGGCCATCTTCGGCGTCCTGGAGCGATCGTTCGGCGACTCGGGGCCCTCTTGGACCCCTGTGCGGGGTTCGGGAGGGCGTTTTGGGGGGGGAGGGGGGGGGCACGGCGCCCCCAGGAGGCGCGGGAAGCGCCCCTGTGACGGCAACTGTCGGCTGGCACACTCGTGTGCAGGTCTGGCTGCACCACCGACTTGCCCTGCATCTCGGTGCCCTGCTGCAGGCCACATGCCTTCCACGGAGGGGCACCCTCGCGGGGGGCTCGCCCCGGGTCCGCCCGAGGGCCCCGGAGCACTCCCCACAGCTGCACCGCGCCCAGAGAACTCCGGGGGGCCCAGGATCGCCCCCGGCGGCCGCCCAGGGCCCGAGGCCCGAGGCCATGACCCGAACGCCATCCTCAGGGCTCTGCAGCTCGTCGTCGTCGTCGTCGTCGTCGTCGTCGTCGTCGTCGTCGTCGTCGGCGTCGTCGTCGTCGTCGTCGTCGTCGTCGTCGTCGTCGTCGTCGTCGTCGTCGTCGTCGTCGGCGTCGTCGTCGTCGTCGTCGTGGCCCTCGTCGTCGTCGTCGTCGTCGTCGTCGTCGTTCTTGCGGCCTTCTTCCTCTATTCTGCCTCCATCCTTGGTTCCTCCTTCCTCCCTCTTTCTTAGGGGCCTCGTCCTCCTTCTTCTACTTCCTCCCCGTCCCTCGCGGATGTCGAGCCGCTGGTGCGCGCCGCCGAGCACTTGTGCGCTCGTGCCGTGTGTGCTCTGCCTTCTGGCCCTGGCGCTCCTCTGCTCGCCGGCAGTGCTCCCGCCGGCGGTGCGAGCTCGGGCACCAGGCCTGCGTGCCAGGGGCGGCGTCAGGGGTGGGGTGGGGTACACCTTAGGCGATGCTTAAGAAAACCAAAGTTTTCGGCCAGAGTCTCGATTATTCTTCATGTTTCAATGTAAACCCCAAGATTTGAATATACATTCTGGGTTTTTATTAAAATTCTGAGACTATGAATTTCTTAACCCATGATTTCTAAAGCATTTCGCAGGGTGTACCCAACCGCTCAGTCATCGCCGACAGGGGCCCGATGGCCCACCCCGCCCAGGAACGCGCGGGATCGCCGATCCACGTGCGGCTTGTCGCCGATTCCGGGTCGGCGCTCCCCCCCGAGCCATCCCCCCTGACGTGGCCCCTCGGCGTGGTCTGGCCGCCTGCCCGGCGGGCCCAGCGGACTCCGTCTGTCGAGCGGCGTCTTTCTGGTTCCTGCTTTTCTCTCCGCGGCGCGGGCGCTCCGCGCGCTCCCGGCGCGAGCCGCCGCCTGCCCCCCTCGAGGGCGCGGCCTCCGAGGGCCTCGGAGCCCTCCGCCTGCCCCCTCCTCCCTCCTCCCTCCTCCCTCCTCCCTCCTCCCTCCTCCCTCCTCCCTCCTCCCTCCTCCCAGGTGTGATTCCTGGGGCCCGGAGTCGGCGGCGGGCCCAGGGGGGAGGCGACGTCCGATGGGGGCTTGGGAGGGGGAAGGCGAGGCTTCGGGCGCCAGGTCTTCTCTCAGGAGGAGAAGAAACACACAGACACAATTAATCTTCGATTCCCCAGAAGATGTGGGAAAACATGGGAAGTGGGGGGAAAGACAGAACCCCAGAAAATATAGGAAAATATGGGGAATC